TCAAGACTCTCTTTAGCGGTGGGAAAATCTTCCACATAATGCTTGATGCGTTGACCATTTACTTTGAAATTTCCTTTAGTTGGATGGTGTAATTCAACTGTTCCGTAGGGAAACACCTGAGAGACCGTAAAAGGACCGGACCATCGAGACTTCAATTTTCCTGGGAAAAGTTTAAGTCGGAAATTGTATAATAGCACTTGATCCCCTACTCGAAAAATTCGTTGCCTGATGTTCTTGTCGTGTCACTGCTTTGTCCTTTCCTTATAGATAGATGCATTCTCATATGCCTCTCTTCTGAATTCCTCCAACTCATGTAGCTATAGTACTCTTGTTTCTCCAGCCTTTTCGAGGTCCATGTTTAACTGCTTCAATGCACAATATGCTCTGTGCTCAAATTTCACTGGTAGGTGGCATGCTTTCCCAAAGACTAGTCGGTATGGAGACATTCCTATAGGCGTCTTGTAAGCTGTGCGATATGCCCATAAAGTATCGTCCAATTTTTTTGACCAATCCTTACGAGATGCATTCACAGTGACCTCCAAAATTCTTTTCAATTGTCTGTTTGATGTTTCCACCTGTCCACTTGTTTGAGGGTGATAAGGAGTGGCAATTCAATGTTGTACTCCGTACTTATGCAAAACTGCTTGGAACAACCGATTGCGGAAGTGCGTTCCACCATCACTTATAATTGCCCTAGGTGATCCATATCGGTTAAATATGTGTTTCTTTATGAAGTCGACCACCACCCTTGCGTCATTTGTAGGCAGTGCTTTAGCTTCTACCCATTTTGAAACATAATCCACCGCGACCACGATGTACCGATTGTTGTAAGATGATGGAAACGAACCCATAAAATCAACCCCCCAGACATCAAATATTTCCACGTCCAAAATGTTGTTAAGTGGCATCTCGTGACGCGCTGATATGTTACCTGTTCTTTGACACTTATTGCATGACCTACAGAAACTGTGGCAATCCTTGAACAATGTAGGCCAAAAGAAACCACATTGGAGCACCTTTGATGCTGTTTTAGTGGGGGCCAAAGTGCCCTCCATAAGTCGAAGCATGTACTCGTGAGAGGATCGGTTTCATTTCATCCTCAGGCACACATCTCCTAATGATCTGGTCCGCCCCTCTCCTATACAAATTTGGATCATCCCAGTAATAGAATTTCGCTTCATGGTTGAGCTTCTTCTTTTGTTGATAGGTGAGATCCGGATCCATATAGCCACTGGCTAAGTAATTAACAATGTCTGCATACCACGGAGCTTTTTCTACCAGCAGTAACTGTTCATCTGGGAAGACCTCATTGATATTCATATTATTTGAATTCTGATGTTGCTCTATCCTTGACAAGTGATCCGCTACCTGATTTTCTGTTCCTTTTTTATCACGAATCTCGATGTCAAATTCTTGTAGTAATAGCACCCAGCAAATTAGCCTTGGTTTCGCATCCTTCTTCTCAAACAAATATTTCAGAGCTGCATGGTCTGTATAAACTATCACCTTGGACCCAATCAGATAAGAACGAAATTTGTCAAAAGCGAAAACAACTGCAACCAATTCCTTTTCAGTTGTTGCATAGTTGATCTGAGCATTATTCAATGTTTTGCTAGCATAGTAGACAACATGAAATACTTTTCCGTTGCGTTGTCCAAGCACTGCCCCCACTGCAAAGTCACTGGCGTCACACATGAGCTCAAAAGGCAATTCCCAATCTGGAGCCACTATCACAGGTGCCGATGTCAATTTTTCTTTCAAAATGTTGAAGGCTTTCAAACACTCCTCAGAAAATTGAAAGGGTATATCCTTCTCCAACAAGTTGCACAATGGTTTTGTAATTTTTGCAAAGTCTTGAATCAATCTTCTATAAAACCCTGCATGTCCCAGAAAACTCTTGATCCCCTTTACTGAATTAGGTGGCTGCAATTTCTCAATCACCTGTATTTTGGCTTTGTCCACTTCAATCCCATGTGCACAAATTCTATGTCCCGGTACTATTCCTTCCAACCATGAAATGACATTTTTCCCAATTAAGCACAAGGTTCTTCTCCTCACATCTTTGCAATACAAGAGCCAACCGCTCCAAGCAATCGTCAAAGGAATCTCCAAACACAGAAAAATCATCCATAAAAACTTCAATGTACTTTTCTACCATGTCAGAAAAGATAGCCATCATGCATCATTGAAAGGTTGCCGATGCATTGTATAAACCAAAAGGCATTCTTCTAAACGCAAACGTTCCATAAGGGCATGTGAAGGTTGTCTTCTCTTGGTCTTCTGGAGCAATTACTATCTGATTATACCCTGAATATCCGTCCAGAAAGCAATAATGAGAATTTCCTGCCAACCTTTCCAACATCTGATCAATGAATGGCAATGGAAAATGGTCTTTTCTGGTTGCATTATTTAGCTTTCTATAATATATGCAAACTCTCCACCCTGTCACTAACCGTGTTGGTATCAGCTCGTTGTTCTCGTTCTTCTCCACTGTGATTCCACCCTTTTTAGGTACAACATGTACAGGACTCACCCACGAACTATCAGATATGGGATAAATTATTCCTGCATCCAATAATTTCAGCACTTCTTTTCGCACTACTTCTTTCAAGGTTGGATTCAATCGGCGTTGTCCTTCCACTGATGCCCTTGACCTGTCCTCCATTAGAATCTTGTGCATGCAAAGAGTTGGACTGGTCCCTCTTATATCTACTATTGTCCATCCAATTGCCATTTTGTGTTGCCTAAGTACCTCCAACAATTTATTCTCATCTTCCCTTGTCATATCATTTGTAATGATTACTGGCAGTGTAGACGATTCTCCCAAATATGCATACCGAAGATGGGAAGGTAAGGGCTTAAGTTCAAGAGTGGGTACCTTTTCCACTGAAGGTACCGGGGGAGAAGGGTTGTCTCCTAGAGATTCATACTGCCAATGCCTTCTTCGTATGGGTTGCTCGGCTAAGTTGACAACACATTCAGCTTTTCCTGCATTTGTTGCTTCCAATTGTGCAAATTCTGCCTCACAAAGATTTGTGTGATGCTCTACGCCACAAGCTCTTCAAGAACATCAACTTGGCAGCAAGTGTCGGAAGTCAATGGGTGTTTCATTGCCTTGAACACGTTGAATATGACTTGCTCATTATCCACTTGAAGAATCATTTTTCCATCATACGCATCAATCAATGCTCTCCCAGTAGCCAAGAACGGTCTTCCCAAGATCAGAGGAATATTTGAGTCCTCTTCCATGTCCAAAATGATGAAATCAGCCGGAAAAATAAATTTGTCGACTTTAACCAGCACATCTTCAATAATTCCCTTTGGTCGTTTGATCGATCTGTCGGCCGATTGCAAAGAGATTGTTGTAGGTTTTGCTTTTCCTAATCCAAGAGACCTGTAAACAGAGAGAGGCATCAAATTAACACTGGCACCTAAATCACATAAAGAATGTTCAAAGAAATTAGAACCAATTGTGCAAGGTATAGTGAAACTCCCTGGGTCTTTTAGCTTAGGAGGTAGCTTTCTCAATAGTATTGCACTGCACTCCTCGTTCAAGCATACTGTCTCATGTTCTTCCAGCTTCCTTTTGTTAGATAGTATCTCTTTCAAGAATTTTGCATAGCTGGGCATAGGGCTGTAAGCAAAAACCGCAAAACCGGAAAATCGAACCGAAACCACATTTTAGAAACCGTCGGTTTGGTGCCATGTGGACCCAATCAACAAAATGGTTTTGATCCAAACCAAACCGGTCAAAATGGTTTGGTTTAGGTTTGAGAATTTTAATTATGGTTTAAAACCAAACCGGACCGGTGAAAAAATATATAAAAATAAAAAAATAAAAATTTTTGAAAATTCATCCAAATATGTAAAATTCAATAGTTTTGTCATTTGTGGGTATTTTTGTCAATTCCTAATTTTCTAATACATATATATCATCATCATCATCATCATCATCATCATCATCATCCAATAATCCTAATATATATTTAATAATTTTAAGACTAACATAATCTATCAAAAACATTTTTCCTCTTCAAAATTTAGATGAACTCCAGTCGACACCCAACACGATTTTGAGCCATCGGCACCACACACTTCTTTTCAGATTTTGCACGCATCTTCAAAGTCGAATTGAAGTCTATTATACCAAATCGAAGACAAAGAGATTCTAGACCTTCGATGATAATATTTGCTACAAATAAAATTTCAGATCAATAATTTTTTGGAGCAAACTAAGTTAAGAATTTGAAATTAAATGTGTTTCGTAACATCATACAAACGTAAACTTGTGTAATTGTTATGTTTAGATATTATAAACAATTGCTTTATTATTGTAGTTGGTTATTCTCTTTGTTTAATCAATATCTTTTTTTCAGATAAAATAATCACGAGGTCTTGTTGTACATCATTATTTTTTTGACCTTATATCTAGTTTAGTAGACTTGTATTGTAATGTTATTTTATCGTCATTAACCTAAAAAAGGTGAACAAAAATGAAAAAAAAACTGTGTTTTAGTTTATTGTGATTTCACTTTGATTTAGTTAATATTTAAATTTATAGTAGATATATTTAATCTCTGTTTGAGCCATATTTTTCATATCATCATAATGAGAAAATTGACTATTGGAGAGGATGTTAGGTCCTACACATGAAATAGCGGGTTAACAAAGGCGGCTGGACTTGTAGAATAACAATCCAAATTTTCATTTTTTTGTCCCAAAAATTTGATTCAGACAGGGGCTTAATTTGTTTTAGATTTATCACTAGTGAGATATAAATATATATTAAATTCAATGAATTAATGACATAAAAGTAGACGGACAAAAAATATATGGTGAAACCGGCGGTTTAAAACCGGACCAAACCGTTAGGTTTAGGTTTGAGTTTTTTTCAAACCGTTCAAAATGATTTGGTTTAGGTTTGAGTTTTTCTCAAACCGTTTTAAACGGTTTGGTTTGAAAATTTGTCAAAAACCGGTAAAACCGGACCGCTTACACCCCTAGCTGGGCATTTGGGCAATTGCGTCTGCAAAAGGAATATTGATGTGCAGTTTCTTGAAAATCTCCACAAACTTGGCAAACTGATTATCCATCTTCCTTCTTTGTAACCTTTGAGGGAATGGAATTGGTAGCACATAAGCCTTCACGGGGCAGGGTGCTCTCACTGCAGGTGTTTCCTTCCTTTCGTTTTCCTTGTCAGTTAGTTGTTCAAACTCTACTTCTTTCCCAGCCTCTTCACCCATTTTTTCCTTTTCTTTTCGCTCAGGTCTCTTCACATGAATTTCTGGAAGTTGCACCCCACTCCTGGTAGTTATAGCTTGCACTTGCTCTTTTGGATTGACCATTGTATTGCCTGGCAATGTCCCTTGTGGGCGTTCTGCAAGCTGTTGAGCTATCTGACCAATTTGTGTTTCCAACTTCTTGATTGATGCTTGCTGATTCTGAAAATTAGTGTCAATCTGCTGAAACACCTTGTCAGTCTTCTGCATATACTGGTTGAACATCTCCCCCAAACTTGGTTTTTTCTCCTGTTGGGCATTATTTGAACTGTTCCCTTGTTGATTATCCGACCATTTGAAATTTGGGTATTGTTTCCATCCTGGGTTGTATGTTTGAGCAAATGGATTAAAATTTCGAGACCCATTTTGAATGAAATTGACCTGCTCGTCGGGATAGCCTATAGATGTGCAGTTTTCTATCAGATGATTAGCCCCGCAGTTCTCGCATGATGGACCAGCTGTCACTGCATGTGCTCCTTTCGTTTGTGATTTCACCAATAACTCCACTTGTTTTGTCAATGCCACTATTTGGGCGTTGGTAGCTGCTGCACTGTCTAACTCATACATTTCTCCTGTCTTCGGTGGCGCCACTCTTTCCAATGAGAACATGGAATGTGTAGTGGCAATCAACTCAAACAGTTCCATGGTTTGCTAAACAGATTTTCCTATAATTGATCCTCCAGCTGAGGCATCGACTTGAGATTTTGACAGTGGTGGAAGTCCAGTGTAGAAGTACTGCACTTGATTACCTATAGTAATTCCATGGTTTGGGCATTTTCTCATCAACTCATTAAACCTATTCCATGCTTCGTGATAGCTTTCTCCCTCCTTCTGTTGAAAAGTCTAAATTTCTAATCTGATTTTAGCTACCCTCGCCGGTGGAAAAAATTTATTACAGAATTTCCTGATTAGTTCTTCCCATGTAGTAATGCTAGCGTGAGGCTCAGCATCTAACCACTCCAATGCAGCATCTCTCAATGTAAATGGGAATAGTCGTAGCTTAATAGCATCTTCATTGACTCCCGGAGCATGAAAGTTCTGACAGTTTCTGAGAAATCTAGAAATATACATGTTTGGATTCTCTTGAGGTAGCCCGTAGAATTGCAGGGTGTTGCTCATCAAGTTAATTCAATCTGGCCTGATCTGAAAGTTATTCACCCCAAAATCTTGATACACGATACTGGAGCGCATGGGTGCTGCTATAGGTGTCAGGAACATTGATACTGGCAAATCCCCTTCATTTATTTCCCTTCGTTCATGCTGTTGTTCCGGTGGTGCCACCACTCTTGCGGCCATTTGCCCAATCGGCTGAATAGGGATATGGATTTGTTGATTGTCGGCCATTTGATGTTGCTGTTTTTGTTTGTGTTCCTTGCGTCTTCGTCTGAAGGTACATTCTATCTGCGAATCAAACGGTTCAAGATCGTCGCCTTGGACACGGAGCATACAATGAACACACTTTTCTGTAAATAAAAGAAAAATAAACTAATCAAATAACAGCCAAAATAAAAAAATAAATTAAGACTAAAAGAAATAGTCCCCGGCAACGGCGCCAAAAACTTGTTGTAAAGTTTTGTTTCGCAAGTGTACGATCCGTAACAAGTAATAGTGGACCTAAGAGTCCGGTTATCGATCCCCACGAGGACTATTTTGTAGCACTTAATTTAATCTTTCTTTAACTACTATTTGACGAATATAAATCAAAAACAATGATTAAATGTGATTTTTATTCTAAAGACTTAAAAATGTGATTGGATTCAACGAAAAGTGATTGAGAATTCAAACAATAAATGGACGTTTCATAAATCAAGATTCATAAAAGCTAAGGTATTGTTCGATCGAATTCTTCTATTGTATTCAACTTACCCCTCTCGAGTTCTCATTGAGCCTACTTAATTAGTTTAATTCCATATCTCTATGCAAATTAAATTTAATTAAACGAAACATTGGTTCTAAGAATTCACACACAACCGCAGCAATCAATATAGGTATCTCTACACATTATATCAATTTACCGAATTTTAACATGTGGTCTAAACAAATAATCAGCATCTCTACGCAATCATTGTTCACAAATCATCTAATTAGTGATCAAGTAATTAAATGTGTTAAGAACAACATTAAAATCAACACATGAAATATAAAAGTACTAGAATCTCAATTGCATGAAATAAAGGGTTCCAAAAGATTACATTATTCGCCCTAAAATCAAATTTAACAACTCATAATAATGGAAGAAAAATAGGAGATTGTCTTAGAATACATCACCGAGTTTGAAATAAAGATGTAGAAGAAAAAGTGGAATTCTTGCACCAAAATCTCCTTCGTCTTCCAATGAGTGCTTCCAATCTTCAATTCTTGGTGTTAATCTTCTTAAATTTCTCATTTGAATCTCCCTTCTTTTTATTTTTCTCTCCAATATGTCAAGAACCCTTCAAAAGTATGAGGAGGATGTATTTATAGATGCCTCCACGTTTGTCTGTAAAAGTAGGGTTTCTATGACTTTAAAAACGGCCCAAAAAAACGCGCTCTAAATCGCCAATCGCAGTGCCTAGGCGCTACAAGACAGCGCCTAGGCGCTTGCCATAGCGCCTGGGCGCTGTGTCTTCAGCACCTAGGCGCTATGGTTGTGCGCCTAGGCGCTGTCTTTCGGGTCCAATTTTTATCTTTTCTTCATTTCGTAGCGCCTAGTCGCTATAAGTGTAGCGCCTAAGCGCCATCTTTCTGTCCCAATTCCGTGTTTTTGGCCTCTTCGTCCACTTTAATACTTCTTTTCTCATTGCTTCTCCTTATCTTCAAAACAACACTAACAAACACATCAAAAACGTTCTACACTCATAAAATCTAGCATTTAATCAAGCTAAAATTGTGCGAAAATCATGAGTGAAACAAACTCATCAAATCTCTTAGACCAAACGAGTCCCAAATTAATAACAATTTATGGTCTTTGAGGAATTGAATTGTATTAATCGAAAAGTTCATTTTCATAAAAGTCATCCCTATTAAATAGGAATTTGAAACTATAAAATTATTAGAGCAATGTATTGTAAAGTGACAAGTGATATCGTAAAACTTGAAGAGACCTTTAATACAAAATATCTTTTGAGTGAGAATATTGACAAAATTCGGATGACATAAGTCGACCTTATAAGAGAAGAGAGCGAACCTACGAGCAAGAATCCAGCTAAAATCGATAAATCCCACTCCCTTTTGTACTTAAAAAAATTAGAACGATTCATTGATTCGTCAAATTTTCATTTGTTTTTCATTTTTCGTAAATTCAAATTCATGGATATCAATTCAATTTAAGATGCAGAAATTAACTTCACAAAGTTGATGCTTGAACATCATGTGACAATAACGATTTAATAAAGACTCGACGATCTTTAACTCGGAATTGATTGCACAATTATAATAAAAGTCTCATATATTTTTTTTACTCTTTTAAAATTTTAAGGTCAACTTACCATTTACGTTTTAGATTGAGGAACGGTAGTTCAATTTTTCCATTTCATTTTTTAGCCTTGCGTTACGACGTTGCCTATCACTCACCCCCTACGCCCACGCCTTCCCCCCGGCCCCCTCTCGCCTTAACTAAATCCAATTCTCCATTTCCGTAAAACAATTATTCGAATCTAAATTAAACAGAATCTAAATTAAACACCGAACGATTTCTCTATCGGTCGATCCGTTACAGGTGAGAGGTCCCACCCGAATCCCCCTCTGTTTGATCTATTGTCGGTGGTTAGGGGTGGAAGCGGCATGTGATCTATTTTTAAATTTAATTGAATTTATATTGGTTGGGGGATTTGAAGTTTTGAAACCGGCATTCATTTTTTTATATGTCAATTTGGTGTTTTAATTTATCTTTGAGTGGCCATTTATGTATCTTGATCTGCCTGTGGACTTCCGTTTGTTGTTTGTACGTTTGTAGGAAATGGGTATACAAATTCGATTTTTACCAGGAATGTTTTCGTGCATTTGATTTTGCGGGATTATTTCTACAAGTGCGGTTATGTGAATGTACCAGGCTCTCTTTTTTTTCTTGGGCAAAAACATTGACTTAGATGGCAAATGTTGTATTAAATGAGCATTTTATTTTAGAAATTTTATGTAGCCAAGTTTTTCTATTTTGAGACTGGGTTTCCTGTGGAATTAGTTTTTTTTTTTTTTTTTTTTTTTTTTTGAAGCATCAAAATAGGCATTTTTTTTTTTTTTTTTTCAATTCAAAAGTGGCATTGCAACGGTCAAAAATTTTTTTATTAGCAGCATCAAGAAAGGCATTTTGTTTCTTTTTCTTCAGTCAGAGTTTGGATTTTAGTATTACAATAAATCAGTATTTAGCAAATAGATAATTGAGCTTGGATGCAATAATTGGTACTTTGGAAAATGATTAACAGTTAATGATTTTGAATGAAATAAGGAAGTAACACGTGACTGGAAGTTGAAAGAAGCGAGTCAGTGACCACAATGAGGAGGAGGTAACAAACTGGTGGATGTTAGATCTATTGTGATTGGTCACATTTGGCGAATGAAATTGCTGAAGGCAAACTACACATAGCTTGGCTTTTATGCTATCAATGGTAAATATAGATTCTGTCTTTTTAGGATAATCAAATTCTGTTGAGTACAATAAGTCATTGAACTTCACAGCAATAGACTTTATTCATGTATCAGTGATTATCAAGGGCACAAAAGTTTGTTGAAAAAATTCGTTAAGAGGGAGTTTGTGATGATTGTAGATGAGTATGAATCAGGAAGCAATTGTGATGCTATGACATTTTTCTGCAAGCAAGGACATCGAGGACATGTTAATTTTACTTGGTTTTGTTTATCTATTGGGTTCTTAGTAGTTAGTACTTCATTTGTATTTTCTAACCTTTTTTCTCATTCTGAGTTTGTATTTTCATCTGGTGTGTGTTTCAGCATATGAAAGCTCAACATTGATTAGCTCATGACTCATGCACTAAAGCGTGTAGTGCAGCTGCTTTTCCATTTGGCTTTAGTAGTCAAATGTTAGTTACACACTTTTAATTATGTAGGTGTATCGTTATTTATCCATCTAATCTAATTTATGGGTCCCATTTTTAAGTGCTACTGTTCGGTGTGCCTTTTTTATTTGAGACTTCAATTGCAATATTCTCCATCATAGTAAAATATTTGACTTTATGTTCCCATTCTTCTGCAAATTTTAATTTGGTGGTTTAAATTTCTTAAGTTGTCTCGAATGTCATGTCATCTACCAATCTTTGCTTTATTAGCATCAACATACACTTACTCCTGATCAAATGGGATAGGATGCCGTGTAGGATTAATTTATTCCACTTGAAGAAAATTATGAAAGAGATACATTTTTTCTCTGGAGATATATGTCCATATGTGTGACCAGAACATGTTTTTTGCCTGGAGTGCTATGTAATTGAAAAGTTCAACTAGAGAAATGATAAAGGGATTTCATTTTTATACCTGTATACACTAATTTTTTATTTGGTGTGAATTTTCTGCTCCCTCACCCCCTACCTCATCCTGTCATTTTCCTCGGTGTCCCCACTCGACCAATATATTCATTATCAGATGCATACATTTTTTTTTTTTTTTTGTATGGACAGTGTTGCCATAAAAGATGCTTTCAGTAGCAGTTGGTG